CGAGCTTTGGATCACTTCTTCCCTCTAACCAGACATTGTCTGGTGATGATTCATTCCAACAATTTGACGGTGGAAGCATACATCAATCACCAAGGTGGCACCTGGTTGAGATCCCTCTGTTTTCATACGTTGTATCTCCCCTATTGAGTCCATGCACACCACATTCATTTAATTGCGTGTCATGTCCTGGGTGTTTTCAATCTAGTGGCGGATCATCATTTCCAGCCCACCAAGATCTGTCCGATGGAGTGGTCCCTCCATCCTCTCGTTTTCCAGTGGCTATGCAATCAGTGGGTTTTTCTCACATTGATGCATTTGCCCTCACTCTGAATCACAAGTTACCCATCTTTTAGTCCCTAGTACCTCATCCGCAGGCTTTGGCTATTGATGCCTTCAGCCAAGATTGGTCACACAAATTCCTATATGTTTATCCTCCTATCCGATTGCTTCATTGGGTGATTTCTCTGATTCATGCCACTCTGTACTGGGTTCTTCGGATAGGTCCCTATTGGCTGGCTCAACCGTGGTTTCCTCGTTTGCACCAACTCCAATTATTTTCTCCTGTACCACTTACCTTATTCCTCGATGTCCTTCATCAACCCCAGTCACCAGCTCTACATCTCGCTGTTCATGTTCTCTGTCTTTATGCCTGGCCTTTGTCTGGTCCTTGGTGAGGAGCTCTCTTCATATCTATCTTCTTCTTTATCTGGATCGTTCCTTCCTCCGGAAAACCTTGGTGGCTCAAGAGGGTAACTTCTCTTTTTTGCTTATTTCCCTCTATTTATCATCTCTACCTTCATCCCAATCTGGATAGACTTCTATGTCTGGTGCATGCCATTTTTTGCTATGTTGCCTGCATGGCTCTCTTCCGTGGTTCCCGTTCCCAACTCTTTATCCCATGGTAGTATTCTTCTTCTAAAATCTATCCCCTTCTACCCTCACCAGTTGGGTTCATCATTTGATACAGTTGGCTTATTCCTCCTTGTCCCCTGCCCACCGGAATTTGTTCAGAGTAACTTCTCATCAAATCTGACACCTCATCTTTTCCCTTGCTTCTCATCTTCATCAGCCTTTGGAGGAAATCCTGCAATCAAACATGTGGACCACCCCAACACATTCATCTCCCATTACTTACATGATATTGCGGTTTTGGCTTCATCGGTTTTCACCTTCCACCTGTGGCTGTTCTTCAAACTTTGGCTGAACTCTAAGACTAAGTAAGTCTTGCTTAATGCTTTATTTTATTTCAGGGGCCCAACCATCATACAGTTCATACATGGATCTTGCTCTGTGGTGAATGGTTCCTGACCAGTTATTCTTTAACTCTAAATCTACACTGTACAGTCATATTGACTCGCACTTTATCTTCTATGGCTTTGCTATGCTCACCTTTGAGATGGGGTGTTTCACAAGATCACTTGTAGGTGAATAACCTTGCGATTTTTGCTTATAAATTTACCTGTTCCGGACCATACCACCCATGGACTTCATAGGTAAAGCAGAAGGGGATAGCTGCCCATCCCTACCATACCTCAATTGAATAAATCAGTATAGTCTGCTTTTCAAAATAGGGTTTTGTGATCACCCATTGTACTGTCTCAGGTGATGACATTCCTCCGGACATTCTCTCCCTTTTTCTTTTAATGGAATATGGGAATCCTTACCACTTATCAGTTCCAAAATGCTGGGGTGGTCGATTGTCGAGGCACCCTCTTGAATGGATTCCACACAAAGATGGCTGTAACCATTCAGTGCAGAGTACGATGGTAGTGTTCTGCAGGTGTAATTGATGTAATATCCTCCAATTTTCAATAATAAATACAACAGAGTGAGACCTCGTAATGCAGTTCACCCCTTTGATTTGGAACCCTCATCTTACCCTTGCATGGATGTTGGTACCCCACAGGCAGGTTTTGAATTTAGAGTGAACCAATCAACGTAAGTCCTCACACAGGTTTTGGTTGTCTATCTTCCTCCCTTGATTTCCTCCATCTGTGTTGTGGGTCACAGCAGTGGTATGTGGGATTGTTCTGGTTCTATCCTTGGCTATCCATCACTCTCTCTTCTTACGGGGATTTTATTGGGATTGAGTTACAACATCTTATTCTTGTTAGGATCACTTTCCTATCACATTCTCTCCCACTTGGATGTGCTCCTCTCATTTTCTGCCCTGATAGCTTACACATTCCATAAATGGGTGAAGAGTATACCTGGGTCAGAAGTGGCGTGGTTCCCCTCTTCAAATCTTCCGATCTGACTCTCTCATCTATGGAGATATTCTTCGGAAGTATTCAGGAGGTACGCCTGTTCTTCCCTCGCACCAGTCCCTCCTCTTTATCAATGTTGGATTCTAGCTAATCTTGTGAGTGGAGGGAAGTTTGTTTGTTTTGTTTTTGAATTTTGCGCAAAGCTAAACGAGGGCTATCTGTGCTAGCCGTCCCTAATTTAGCAGTGTAAGACTAGAGGGAAGGCAGCTAGTCATCACCACCCACCGCCAACTCTTGGGCTACTCTTTTACCAGCGAATAGTGGGATTGACCGGCACATTATAATGTCCCCACGGCTGAAAGGGCGAGCATGTTTGGTGTGACGGGGATTCGAACCCACGACCCTCTGATTGTGAGTCGAGCGCCCTAACCACCTGACCATGCCGGGCCACAGAGGAAAGTACCGTATTGTAAGTTATAATTTTCCTATACTGAAAATGGATTTCCGATAGGTACTTTCCACTTCTCACACTTCCCATTCTTCCTCCTCACACAGTTCCAGTGCTTCTGTTTTCTGCCAAACTTCAAAGTGATAGTTTGGTAGAGGTGCATAGAGGGAGTCACATACATCACATTAGTGTACTATGCTCCTATTGGTGAAGAGGTGACACATGGACGATTTGCATGAGAGACAGGTTGGAATCCTTGATTCCAGTAGGGGGGGAGTAGAAGGCTTGTGGCATGCGTAAAGAAATGGGGTGCTACTATAGTGTGCAATCTACCGAGACTTTTACACTATAGCGTATGGTCTACTGAGACTTTTACACTTAGTTAAATAGACAAGTCAGGTCAGATGGGGTCTCTATGATCCCTCTGGGGTAGGGGGAATAGGGTTCGGTGGGTCTTGGTAGACTACGGATACTGCGGTAGACCGCATGCTATAGTAGCACCAGAAATGGTTCGCATATAGGAGGCAGCAGTAAATGAGAATCGCTAATCTTGTGATAAGAGAGAAGTACATTTTGGAAATACATTTTCAGTATAGAAAAACTCTAACATTTTGAAAACAGGTTGGTTTTAATGGAGAAGAAGAGTAACTTAGTGAGTCAAATGACCTTCTGTCACTATGATTTTTTTAAATTAATTTCTTAACTTTTAATATATTATTAACAGTGCAAGGTATATTTCTTGTGGCATAAATTAAAAACAAAAATACTGTATGACAGAAGGCCTTTTGGCCCATTAATGTCCAGAGTTATCCAACAGAAATAAAAGAATTCAAACTACCAATACAGTCTATATCATCTGGAAAATGATTTCACAAATTAATAAATCTAACAGGAGAATAAAGTTTACCTAATTACTAACCTTGATGTAGAAATGAATAAATCTAACAGGAGAACAAAGTTTACCTAATTACTTACCTGGATGTAGAAATGAATAAATCTAACAGGAGAACAAAGTTTACCTAATTACTTACCTGGATGTAGAAATTAATAAATCTAACAGGAGAACATAGTTTACCTAATTACTTACCTGGATGTAGAAATTAATAAATCTAACAGCAGAACAAAGTTTACTTAATTACTAACCTGGATGTAGAAATTAATAAATCTAACAGGAGAACAAAGTTTACCTAATTACAAACCTGGATGTCGAAACTAATAAATCTAACAGGAGAACATAGTTTACCTAATTACTAACCTGGATGTAGAAACTAATAAATCTAACAGGAGAACAAAGTTTACCTAATTACTAACCTGGATGTAGAAATTAATAAATCTAACAGGAGAACAAAGTTTACCTAATTACTAACCTGGATGTAGAAATTAATAAATCTAACAGGAGAACAAAGTTTACCTAATTACTAACCTGGATGTAGAAACTAATAAATCTAACAGGAGAACATAATTTACCTATTTACTAACCTGGATGTAGAAATTAATAAATCTAACAGGAGAACATAGTTTACCTAATTACTAACCTGAATGTAGAAACTAATAAATCTAACAGGAGAACATAGTTTACCTATTTACTAACCTGGATGTAGAAATTAATAAATCTAACAGGAGAACATAGTTTACCTATTTACTAACCTGGATGTAAGCTTTTGTATCTTATACTTGTTTACTCTAATATTTAGGATTTCATCACCAAACTTATCCCTTTACCATGGAAAGTTTGTCCAAGGCCTAAATGATTATCTATAATCTGTAAGAATCTAACTTATTAATTAATTAACTATGATTAGGAACTTTATTGAAAGTTCTGTAAGAGTAGATACACAACATCAAGAGGAGTACCCTTATCTAAAAAAGTAAAAGCCCTATCAAAACCTCCAACACATTAATTAGAGAAAATCTCTTTCTGAATCCATTCTGACAATATTGAATCAAATAGAGAATGACGAATAGAAGTGATACTACTGCTTACAATGACTGTAATTTATGGTGTGTCATCATCAGAAACTAGATGGCACCAAATGGTATGAGCCTGCACCTATTTAACATTTGATACTTTCCAGTTCTCAGTGATGATCTATCAAGTAAAGCCTTTGGCAGTACTATGTATATTTCTGTGGTCAGTTAAGTTACATTATAAATTTTCATGAAATATAAGTCTAGATTTTAAAAGAAAAAGTAAGTAGTGTAATATTGTGTCACTGAGAATACATTATTTTTTTTTAAGTTGAATTTTGTTTGTTATGTGTAATTATGAAAGCATTACATGATATTTATTTTATGTAAATTTAATATGAAATAAAAGCCGAATTTTTATGTTTATATTTCTCTAGGAACTCTTAAGATTTGAGCTGGTCAATGTACTGAATTACATCATTCATTAGGAAGAGTGAAGTTGAGAATTCAGGTAAGGTGAAGTGACTCAGTATACTGTGTCTACGATATGATGATTTGTATTAAGATACATGTGTCTAATAATACACATGTATTCTATTTTTTAAATATTTAAGTGTTTCTATTAAAATGTACACAGTGAAGTTACTTGTACATGTTATAATACATTACCATGTAATTTGTATATAAAAATATTATGCACATGTGTTGTGTTCAAGGCTTAGCATTGATTATGAAAATTATATTGCATTAATAAGATATGCTTGTACTACACTGTTATTTATCTTCATCTAGTTTTTATCTAATTGTAAATATGAAAGTTAAAAAAGCCAAGCTTTGCTAGTGATGAATTTTTAATTCTTACTAACATACTGAGAGTGAAGATAAGAAATATTCTCAACATACTTATATTAATTTTTTAAGACCTACCAAAATTGTCCACACAATAGAATCATGTTTATTTTTGTAAAAATATAAATATTTATATGAGAAATTTTATTGTTAGTTTAGTGCTTTGCACAGGAACAGTAGTAAGTTTTATGACATATTTTATTAGATTTTGTAATTTTTTCTGTTATTTAAATTTTAGTTAATTATATATGACATTAGTGCTTTTGATGTATGTTATGTAAAAATTAAATCTTTTTTCCTATATATTTTACAACCAATAATTTTAACATTTTCCAAAAATAGTTGTAGGAGTGGTTGATATTGGCATCAGTAGGTATGCTCTAGAAAAGAATGTCTAAAAAGTAAAAAAAAGAAAGTCAGTTTAAGAAGTTGCCCAAGGCTTTAGTTAACATTTTGGTTGTGAGAACAATACTCAAGGTGACATAACTATTGACATATAAGAAAATTAAAGATATATGTATGTATATTGAATGGAAAAAGCTGTAAGAATTGGTATTAATGTGTTAAGACTTTATGAAAATAATAGCTGTACTAATACCATGATACACTGTTATTTGTACCCTGAAGGGGGAACTTCCCTCAGTAAAAGAAAAAAACAAATCCTTTATGTACTAGAACAGGACCTAAAACGTGAAGTAAAACATCAGAATACACAGTAATAACATACTTAAGTATTGATATTAATTATGTTTACACATCGGTGATTTGGATTAGGTTAAGAATTTATGATGTGTTATTTGTTATTACTGATGAAGTATATTTGGTTATATTGTAGAAGCCTTAAGTCAACATTTTGATCATGAGGACAAGAATATATGCTATTATACAGAGGGTTGAATACATTATATTAAAAGTGTTCCGAAATGGTACTACCTTCGCTCCCTCACATCTCACTCATAGCTATCTTGACCTTCATTTGCTCTCTAGGCATTGGTAAACTTTTATATCCCTATATTTTTTGCATCATTGCAGTAATGTGCTGATCATGTAACCACCCTCCACCAATCCCATTGCACCCTGTATACTAGTGCAGGTAGCTCACTCTACTCTGGCGGCACAATCCTCACTTTCTTGATTGGCATTCTCGTGTATTGACACATGTTTTACGTTCTTCATGTGACTGCACAATTTTTGATTGTGCTGGATCACCAATTAATATCAGATTAAAGTTCAAGTTTCTACTCGTTTGTTTTTGAGATGTGTCTGTTTCCCAATTTCTACTTTGTTCATATGTATTCGGGTCTCTTATGACAGTTGATAATTTTCCTGCCATAAGTAGACAGCAGTTATAACACTAGGCCTCAGTTTCACGATATCTGCTGAGGAAGCACAGACTTTCGTTCATGGGGAGTTCGTGTCTTATGTTCGGTCGGCAATTTTTTCCTTTCAAGATAGGTATTGTTCTTTTTTCCCAGGAGATCTGTGCTAA